GGACAAAACCAGGGCTGCCAGGGAAGCCCGGGCCGGGTGCCAGAGGGACGCCGGCACTGGACGCCGGGGAAGGAAGGCCTCCTCGTGCATGAATTCCACGCACCGGGCTCCGGTATAGAACCTATCTATGAATATGAGTAATATGCAAATCAACCCAATGGCAGGAACGACCAGAACGACAACTCGGCCAGTTGCTGTGAGGTGCACTGGCCACCTCAGTCCCTCCCCCCAGCCAGCAGGCTCCGATGGTGAGCGGGAACCTGGAGTGGGGGCAGCAGGGGGCAGGGCCAGCTGCCAGCAGCCAGGGAAGATGGCCCTGATCACAGGCCAGACTAGGGACAATACCCGCACACAAATTTTGGGCCCCAGGCCTCTAATAGAATTATAAACCTACATGTACTCATCCTGAGCTTCAAAAATTATCAACTCATGGCCAATCTTGTTTTATAATTTACATGTCTTATTACACAAAAATCCTAAAGGAAGCTACTTTCGTATGCATCTACATTCTTCATTGACTCCATCTCAGATAAATCAAACCATTCTCAAAAAGGTTGCTTTTCCTGCCCTAGCCAGCATGTTCAATGGTTAGAGCATTGCCCCACAGACTAAAGGGTCTGTTGGGGGCACATGTGGGAGACAACTAATCAATGTGTGTCTCTCATATTGATGTTTCTCTCTGTGTGTCTCTTCCCCACCTTTCCACTCTCTCTAAAAAAATCAATGGTGGGAGAAACCAAGATGGCAGCATAAATACCTAAACTGCTGCCTCGCACAATTTCAAAACTACAACTAAAAGACAAAATGGACGTCATCCAGAACCACAGGAAAGCTGGCTGAGTAGAAATTCTACAACTAGAAGGAAAGAGGAAAGCACATGGATAATCAGAGGAGCTACAAAGGACTGAGGTATGGAGACACGGGTGCAGAGAGGAAGAGCAGCTGAGTGCCTGGCTGGTGTTCCTGGAGGGAGATGATAATTCTCAAGGGGAAAGCGGTAAGAGGGTGCAGGAAGAGACTGGACAAAAATTGTACACCTATGGATGAGGACAGTGGAGGGGAGATAAGGGCAGAGGGTGGGGTGGCAACCAGATGGAGGGGAGCTATGGGGGGAGGAAGGAGAAACTATTATAATTATCTTAACAATAAAGATTTATTAAATTAAAAAAAAATCAATGGTGAGGATTAACCAGAAAACAAAAACAACAACAAAACAAGTTGCCTTTACTAAAGGCCACAGACAAATAAAATGGGAGAGTCCATTTTTAAACAATAAATCAACTCTTATCTGCACAAACCAAGGGAACAGTAACAAAGATATTGCAAAATAATAATCCAAAACTCAGCTTATATGTAATTTTGAAATAACTTTCCCATACTTATATTTCAATAATAAGTAAAATGGGAGAATTCATGTCAAACAAAATAAATCACCACAGGCGAAATATCTTGGACAAATCACTTGGTCTCCTGAGCCTCAGTTTCCTCACCTATAAAACAGAAAAAGCACCTACCTCAGGGACTTGTAAGAATTGAGTGAGTTTACAGTAAATCATTCAGTTTACAGCTGCTGCACCTTTGAGAGAAGTGACGTACCACAAAACCTATTTTACCACAGGCTAATCGATACAAATGAGAGCTGAGGTCCTATGGCATCGCATGGTTCTAACTAAGGACACTGGTGGAAGGACACTAGTTGAGGACCTGGGATATCCTGAACCCACATGGTAGCTCCCTTCGGGATTTCCCAGACGACGGAAAGAGCTACAAAGCTGCCTGGTTTCCTCCTACACCACCTTCTCAAAATGATTTAAAAACTTGTATCCCGCCGGGACCGGTTTGGCTCAATGGATAGAGCGTCGGCTTGGGGACTGAAAGGTCCCGGGTTCGATTCCGGTCAAGGGCATGTACCCTGGTTGCGGGCATATCCCCAGTAGGGGGTGTGCAAGAGGCAGCTGATCGATGACTCTCTCTCATCGATGTTTCTGACTCTCTCTCTCCCTTCCTCTCTGTATAAAATCAATAAAATATATTTAAAAAAAAACAAAAAAAAACTTGTATCCCAAAACATGCTAAATCTGAGGAGCTAAGAATTTCAAGGAACTTTGTGAAACAAATAAAGGGACCTGAGACTGAAGAAAGCATTTTAGTAGGATAATTCTTTTTTTTTTTTAACATATTTTATTGATTTTGTACAGAGAGGAAGGGAGAGAGATAGAGTTAGAAACATCGATGAGAGAGAGTCATCGATCAGCTGCCTCTTGCACACCCCCTACTGGGGACATGCCCGAAACCAAGGTACATGCCCTTGACCGGAATCGAACCCGGGACCCTTCAGTCCCCAAGCCGACACTCTATCCATTGAGCCAAACTTCACAAAATAATCCCCCCTTAACTACTGAGCCGTCCAGCATCACACAGCAGTAGCTTGTGGCCAACATGCCCAGTAAAACATCCTCATCCTCCCCCTTTCTTTCTTTTTAAAATATAATTTTATTGATTTTTTACAGAGAGGAAGAGAGAGGGATAGAGAGTTAGAAACATCGATGAGGGGAAATCATCGATCAGCTGCCTCCTGCACACCCCCTACTGGGGATGTGCCCACAACCAAGCTACATGCCCTTGACTGGAATCGAACCTGAGACCTTTCAGTACGCAGGCCGATGTTCTATCCACTGAGCCAAACCGGTTTCGGCTCTCCCCTTTCTTTGATTACTCTTTCAATCATCCAAGACCCTGTACGCAGTGAAAACAGGAGGGCAGCCATACCACTCTCAGCCATGCCGAGGGTTAAGAAACTCAGTATGACTTACCACAAAACAAGACAGAAGCACCTTTTTCCTTCAGTTCTTCCTCTGCCCATGAAAAAGCCTGAATTGTAGGCACACTATCCTTGGAGCACGCCTATACCCCTCCTTTTGGGCATTACCTCTGCTCTTTCTCCTAGACTCTAAGGGTCCTGGCAAGACTTGCAACCAGGGGAGCAGTGGGCAGCAGCAGCTCACACAGACTAACCCCCTGAACCAGTCTCCAAGGCCTCCCTTCCTCTGACTTTTCGTGAGCTGAAAGCAGCCCCGCCTTGGCCCACTGTGTCCTGTGACTTTTACATCTCGGTGAGTCCAACCAGCCCGGTATGGCTCACTTTCCTGTAACATTTCTAGAGGAACAAAGCAGCAGCACCTGGGCTCTCCTGTTGCTTCTTCTATCCTAAGCCCTTCCCTTGTCCCCCTGTCCCCAGCTTTAACAAACAAACAAGCAAGCAAACCAACAAACAAACGTATTCTCCAAATAAAAAAGCTGGAATTGTAATCTTGTGTTCCCTATCACCTGAGAGGCAGTTCACTATTGCTCAAAACTATCAAATTAATTTACACATTCTAAAAATATATTTATTGATTTCAGAGAGGAAGGGAGAGACAGAAACATCAATGAGAATTGTTGATGGGCTACCTCCTCATCAAGCACACAAGCCAGCCATGTGCCGGGACTGGAATCAAACCGTGACCTCCTGGTTTATAGGTCGAAACTCAACCACTGAGCCAGGCCAGCCGGGCTTATTTTACACGTTTTTTAAATATACATATGCAGTCACAACTGTTCACCAAGATTTTAATTCTTCTTTTAGCATTACTTTCTTTCAATCTCTCAGTTATCTTCTTGAGACTGTATACACATTGCTGAAGTTCCCTTTTTAATTATCACCTTCAATCACCAATCCTCTTCCCTGTGTGAAGACAGGTGTTCTTATCACGAACCCACCTTCCTCCCAAATCACCCACCCAATGAAAACCTTTACCTCAAGCCATTCTTTATTTTCAGAGAGGACCCATTTCTGTGCCCTTTCCCTAAGATAATTGTAATGTAATAAAACACAGCGCTTAGCAGTTCGTTGTGTGCTTTGTGTTCATTTAATCCTTACAGTCTACGAAGAAGGTAATTCCCTGTTTTATCCATAATGAAAAAGACGTGGAGAACGTTAGTTATAAAGCAAGTGAGTGGCGAGGCAGAACCCCACACCAAGCCCTCCAGCTCCCGACGCCCGGGCACTGCGAACTCCGACGCCCTTCTCAGAAAGCAAAGCCTCAGCGGGTCCCAACCACATTGGTTCAGAGTAAACCACCTTCGAACCCTCTAGACTGCAACCAGACCTCCCATCCCCACACTAATCACCCCTTCTCCTGCTTCCTCGCCCTCCAGGGGTTACCCTCACCCCAATGACTATCCAACTCCCACTCTTCAGGGACACTCCCTGCCAGCGCTCTACCCCTCCCGCTCCAGCCCTGGCGCTCCCTCCAGGGGCAGGGGTGCTCGCACTTCCCGAGCTGCAGGAGCTCCTCAGACCCGGGCCAGCTCCTAAATAACTTCAAGTCCCTGCAGCCAGGCGGCTTGCAGGCCTGTCTCCCCCCTGGCCCTGGCCACCACGCCGCGCTGAATCCTCAACAGCAGCCTCACCGGGTCTCCCCGGGCCCCACAGTCGCCGAAGTTGTTATGCAAGTGACTCCCCTGCCGACCTCTTCTCCAGGGACCCCCTCCCCTGGTCCGGAGCCTCTCCGGCCCGCCTCCCCCCTGCACCCCGCCCAGCGCAGCCCCGGCCAGGCGGCTCCGCGCCCACAACTTCAGGTCGGGCCTCTTATCACCTGTTCTCAGCAGCGCGGCCCCCGCGGCCCGCCCGGCCCGCTCCGCGGGGAGCCGGGCCCGCCGGCAGTTCCGGGTGCCCGGGGGCCGGCTCCCCGGCTCCATCACCTGCCTGCTCCGCCCAAGGCCAGAGACATCCGCCGCGGCCGCCGCCTCCGCCACCCCCTGCTCGGACGCCGGTCCCCGGCCGGCCCGCCCGCCCTAAGGACCCCCCTCCGGTGGGAACGAGGGGGCGTGCACCCCAACACGGGCCCCCAACACGCACCTGTCCCTCCTCCCCCTCGCCCCCCGGCCGCCGCGCCGGCGCCCCGACCCCTCCAGCCCCCCCCCGCCGGCCGCGCCCGGCCTCCCAGACCCGCACTCACCACGAGTAGGTCTGCTCCGCCATGGCGCCGGCTCCCGGCTCCCGGAGGCTCCGCGGGCCGGCGGCGGGGGCGGGCGGCGGCGGGCTCGCTCGGGCCGCGAGCGGAAGGCGCGGCGGCGGCCCGGCGCTGGTCCCTCCTCGCGCGGCGGCGGGCCCGGAGGCTGCGGCGCGGAGGCCGGGCTCCGAGGCGGCCCGCTGCCTGGGCCCGGGACGGGGCGGGCTCCGCTCTCGGGGCCTCCCTCACCGGCGGCGGCGGCGGCGGCTCCGCTGCGGCTCTAAACTCAACATGGCGGCGGCGCGCTGAGAACAAGGGGCCCGGGCGGGCGGCGGGCGGGCCCGCGCTCACTGCGCGCCGGGCGGCGGGAGCGCCGGGCTCGGGCGGCGGCGGCGGCCGGAGGACATGGCGGGCGGCGGCGGCGGCGGCGGCGGCGGCTGAGGGGGCGCTAGGCGGCGGCGAGGCCGCTCGGCTCACACCGCGGAGGAGAGGAGGAGGGCGGGGGGCGGCCTCTGCTCCGCGTGTGTCACGTGCCCAAAACACGCTCACGTGACGCGCGCCCCGCCCCTCGCGCCGGGCCCGGGCGCAGAGACGTCGGTTCCTCGGTCCGAGGCGGCTGTTGCTCGCTCGGCGCCGGGAGGGTGGGCGGCCTCTCGCCGCCGAGGCCGCCCCCTCCCCACGCGGAGCCGGCGCCTCGGGCCGGCCCTCCCCTCCCCCTCCCCGAGGGCCGCGGCCGCCAATCAGGAGCCCCGAGGCGCGCCGGTCCGCTGCCACTCAGCTGTCAGCTGTCCATCAACAGCCTGGAAGCGGCGGGTCAACCTGTCAGTCAACCTGTCAGTCCGCAGGCGAAGCGCAGCATCCCGCAATTCGTTTGTTCCTTAGTCCCCTTCGTGCGCTTAGCAAATAGTCTAAGCAACCAACCTTGATTGCGCCCAGGCTCTGTGCCAAATCCTCTAGAGGCCAAGGTGAATACCCCATACTTGCCCTTATTTGATCCATCAACAGATATTTATTGGGTGCCAGCTATCAACTCATTCTGCTAGACCTCTGCCCTCTGAAAGCTTCCATTCTGGAGGAAGAGACATAGACAGTCTAAGCTGACAAAACAGTGAAGATCGTTTCAGATGCTGCTAAGTTTTATGAAGATGATAACGGGTAAATGGGACAGAGAATGTGTGGGGGTGAGGGCCGCTTTTGTTCAGATGATCAAGAAAGGCCTTTCGCTGAGGAGGTGACATTTGAGCTGACACCCGAAGAATGAGCTAGACCACAGACCAACAGTGAATCTGGAGCTTAGGGGGGGGGGGAGGAATTGCACCCCAGGGCGTTGGGGAATGTTCTCCAGGAATGGATGAGGCCACAGGTGCCAAGAGAGAAGGCATTCTAGGAAGAGGACGAATGAAAATGACCAGGGCAGCGCCAGGTTTCAGAAACACGCTTGGCAACAGACACACTAGCCCCCTACACTTCCGGGCTCCCCGGGAAGCAGAGCTCACACCTGAAAGCAGCACACCCCAGCAGCTTGCCCAACATCATGCCAGGACCTAGCCCTGCTCCAGTTTCCCGGGGCCTGCCCAGGCTCCGAGGAGTGCCACACCCTGAATCTATCTCCAAATGGATCAGCTGGCCAGTGCCCATACATCTGCTGCTTGCCCGTTCCCCAGGGGAACTCTTTAATGAGAAAGCCAAATACACTTTTCCTTCAGAAGCAACCTCTCCTTCCTCCTTCCCCACTGCCAGGTGCCAGGGCCAGGCAGGTTCTACATGTTTCCTGCAGCTCCACCAGAGAGCCCTGGGAACGAGCCAGCTGATACAATCGAGGTCTCAAGGAGGGCTGAAGTAGGGCCCCCCAAATTACCAAAGCACCAGAGACCCTCCTCTGACCACTAACAGAAAGATACCAGCCTGCAAATATCTGCCCAGCTAACACTTTTAAAAATATATATTTTATTGATTTTTTTATTTTATTTATTTATTTATTTTATTTTTTTACCAAGAGCAAGGGAGAGGGATAGAGTGAGAAATATCGATGGGAGAGAAACATCAATCAGCTGCCTTCCATTCCCTACCGGGATGTGCCTGCAACCCAGGTTCATGCCTTGACCGGAATCGAACCTGGGACCCTTCAGTCCGCAGGCTGACGCTCTATCCACTGAGCCAAACCGGTTAGGGCTAACGCTAACACTTTTTAAAATTGATTTGAGAGAGAGGAAGTGAGAGAAGGAGAGAGAGCGAGAGCGAGAGCGAGAGCGAGAGCGAGAGAGAGAGAGAGAGAGAGAGAGAGAGAAACACTAATTTGTTGTTCCACTTATTTATGTATTCGTTGGTTGATTCTTCTCTATACCCTCACGAGGGATCAAACCTGCAACCTTGGTGTATTGGAATGATGCTCTAACCAACTGGCCTATGCGGCCAGTGCAAGGAGCCTACTTTTTTGACATTAACTTAGTTCTTACCACTTTGTCAGGTGCTTTTACGGAATCTCAGCTCTGCCTTGAGCATGACACAGTCTTTCTGAGTCTCAGAGGGGCCTGAGTAAGGCCAGAGCCCATGGGAACAGCATGAGCCATGGCACCGGCGGCTTTGGGAGATGCTGAACGCGCTCAGAACAAAACAGATCACCAGGCAGGTTGCTAATGAAACCAGACACCCTGAGCCCCCAGGCGATGCACTGGGCTTTACTTCCCCGTGGGCCACAGAAGGCAGAGCCCAGTGAAAATCTGGTATTAGGCGGATGGAACAGGAGACACTGAGGAAGTCAAAGCCCTCGCAGGAGCAAAGGAGCCACTCTTTGCACCGAAAGAAAAAAAAAAAAATCTGGTGACAGAAGGAGGGGGAAGGGCCTGGAGGAAGGGATGGAGTCAGAAATGAGGAGAAAGGGTTCCTTCTCTTCATCTAAACCCAGGCTCTCCAGGTGTCTCTTGGGGGAACATCTGAGTACAGACCCTAGAAGAAGCCAAACAGCATTTGTCAGGGCTGGGAGGTGTCCAGGCCACGGAAATCCTGTGTCCATGGTCACAGGAAGACGGGTGTGTGCCCAGAGGCTGGTGGCTCTGGGTCTCAGCTAAGATTGCCCACAGGCAGAGGCACCTCCCGGTCCCAGTCAGGGTCTGCAGGCTCTGGCGTCCCCCCGAAGGCCGGGCTAAAGCGAATCTGAGGCCTGAGGGTGCCTGGGGCTGCCAGCAGGGCCCTCGGGGGATGACCAGCAGGTCCTGGGCCAGCGGCTCCCGGAGGCAGCAGTCCCCAGGGCATCCGTGGCAGTGCTGAGCCTCCGCGGGGGTCAGGTGCGCCTGGCAGGAGATGAAGGCACTGCCATCCCCCACCCCCGGCCCCACAGGTGAGAGGACGCAGCTTGTGCAATGTTTGTGGAAAGAGGCAATGGAAGTTCCTCTAATTATCACCGAGATAATTATAGGAGCTGCCTGCTACCAAGTGTGTTTAAGGGCCCTGGTGCGTCTCCCCAGGACGCGTCATCTGCCTTAGGCACAGACTCCGGGGAGCAGGCGTTGCCAGATCTGGCCCAGCTGCCTAGACACTGCTCCTGAGGGTCAAAGGCTGATCTGACAGATCCTCACCTGTCTCTCCTTCTCTCACCTCTATCTCCACTTCCTCTCCCCTCCACCCCACCCTCCCGCCCCCCATGCATTCCAAGGTGAATGGCTTGCAGCTTCCCAATGGGCTCATGTTCTTGTTTTTGCTTCCAGACCTTGACCGAGCCCAGGAGGCGTGCCATTGCCTTTAACTGCCGCTCATAACGCTGAGGCATGGCGTCCAGGAAGTCTCCCTTGACCAAGCCCCGCTGGTGAGATATTCCCACGGCCCCTGACTTTGCCTCTGTAGTGACATAAGCACAATGAACTGTCACTGCCTGTTTACTTGTCATTCTCTCCCACTGGGTTGTGAATGCCTCGTGGGAAGGGACTGTGGCTTGTTGCCAATGATATCTTCCGTGCGCAGTGCAGAACCTGGAGCAGAGTGGAAGCTCCGAGACTGTAGAATGAGTGCTTGAGTGAGTGGGAAGGCGAGCCAGGTTCCAGAACAACTGGTCCCGCCTGATATTCCCGCGATTACCTCCCTCATCTCATATTCAGCTTCCTCCCTCATCCCCCTGCAACTCCCTCCCCGACTGAGCAAGAGAACATCCTTAAGAGCAGAGAAATCTCCACATTATGGGAAGACAGAATATTGGAAATCAGGTATATAGTGAGCTTTTTGTCTTTTATTTTAATTGATAGATTTGAGAGAGAGAGAGAGAGTGAGAAAGAGGGAAAGAGAATCATGGATTTGTTGTTCCACTCATGCATTCATTGGTTGATTCTTTTTTTTTTTTTTTTTTTCATTGGTTGATTCTTATATGTGCCCTGACAGGGGATCGAACCCGCAACCTTGCCATATCAGGATGAAGTTCTAACCAACTGAACTACTGGGCCAGGACACATGCTGAGAGAGTACTCATCAGGTTACTTATAGTCTTTGATCATGGATTTAAAAAAAAAAAAAACACAAAAAACCTTTAGCCAAAACCGGTTTGGCTCAGTGGATAGAGCGTCGATCTGCGGACTGAAGGGTCCCAGGTTCAATTCCAGTCAAGGGCATGTACCTTGGTTGTGGGCACATCCCCAGTAGGGGGTATGCAGGAGGCAGCTGGTTGATGTTTCTCTCTCATCGATGTTTCTAGCTCTTTATTCCTCTCTGTAAAAAATCAATAAAATATATATTTTAAAAACTATTTTTCAGAGCAATTTTAGGTTTACCAAGAAAATTGATGGAAAGTATAAAGAATTCCCACATACTTCCTCTCACACAGTTTACCTTACTATTTACATCTTTATTCCTGTGGTACATTTGTTTTAACTGATGAGCCCGTGATGGCACATTGTTATTAACTAAAATCCATAATGTACACTAGATTTTACTCTGTGTCATACAGGTCTGTGAGTTCTGACAAACGTCTAATGACACGTACCCACCACTACAGTGTCATACCGAATAGTGTCACTGCTCTACACAACCCCGGGCTCACCTGCTC